CTCAGGACAGACCAATCATCCAGACTTGCTCTGTTCATTGTCAGTTTCATTGGGGTTTGCAGGTTCCTTTATGCTTTTCAAAGACTGTAGTCATCGTCCATAGCAACGTCACACAAAGTCTCTCAGTCTCAATTCAGTGGCTCACTAGTTGATGCTTGTGACTCAGTAACATCTTGAATCTATTTCACAGGTCTTGATCATAATTAGATGCACCCCACCCCCATCAAGCACTTCTAACATCATGGTAACCTTAATATCAGTGCTTAAGTGATACCTGTGTTCTTGTTCTATAGTTCCTTTAATTCTGAAAAATGTTAAGTAGTAAAGGTTTTAGGGGAGAGGAAAAAAAATCAATGCATTTTAACAGTTTAACACTCTCATTCCAGAAGAGCTGGAATGATCTGTGCCACACCTTTATGCACAGGAGGAATGTTCATAAGTTCATTTCCCTTTTACATGGGTTATCTGCAGAACAATTACAGAGCGGGAACTGGTAGTGCAAGCCTCTGTGGACTGCTCTACTGACCCGCCGCTCGGCTGCCAGAGAGGGAAGCCAAGTACAGACTTGGAGATTACTAATTACAGCGCGGGTGGGCCAATAACCTGATCCATGAACGTTAATTCATATAGGCCACTCCTCCCAAAAAAAACAAAAAAACAACCCACTCAAAAGTAACAACTTCTAGACATTATTAGCCTAGGGAGGGTTTGAAGCAGGGACCTAGAGTTCAATGGCCTTCTAATCCAATTTGCTGAGCCATCACACACGATAGCTTGTAAGACAGTTCTGAACAACTCTGGGTCAGGCCTTTTGCCTTCACAGCAAAGTTGCCACACATTTACTATGCCAATAGGGCTAAAATGGTGCATAACCTCCTCAGTATGGATGCAGTTACACAGGTATGAAGGTGCTTCTATCAATACAGCTTACTCCATAGAGGAATAAGTTATACCTTTACAAAGGACCATTATACTGGTCACCTGTGGTATTGTTTAAGCACGTATAATCTTATCATTGTGAAAAGAATCACTATCCCAACTAATAAAGGGACAAAATTGTGAATCAACTAAGATTTTGGACATTGAAATCTAATGGAATTCACTTCATCATACCATTGATGTTAGCCTGTTTGCTTAGTGCGGGGCTGTTAGTTAAAGAGTAATATCCGTTTGGGGTTCTTCTTCTGCCTACAGGGCTGGTCTTTGATCTCACAGCTGGTAGGATTACATCACATGCCATTGCAGAATTCTTGCTTTATCATTAACAATGGGTGTTGGCTTCTCAACATGGCTGTCCTGTCACTTTGAGGAGACTTTACTCCTTACAAGGGCTATTGTCTACTTGAAAGACATTCATTATCATATTAATTGTTCTATTCTAGTGATGGTTAAGTGGCTTTCTGGTGAACATCTTACTCTAATGCTGCAGGTTTTAGATTAGTTTAATCCTCTTGGACAGGCATCCAATGTGTCTATAAATCCATTCACAAACCTCAAGTCTCTACTATATATGCTCCTTTAAAATTCACAGTTCATCACCATTTTACCATTTAGTGACAATACATTAAAATTGCTAGGCAACTTGACTCAATATGTACTGAGCTGCACTGCTGGGTTAATGATGCCTATAAATACCTTCCTCTTTCAACTGTGTCCTTTGGGAGTGTTGGTCACTTTCATGACCAGGGTTTTTTTTTTGTTTTGTTTTTTTAAAGCTAATAGAGACACTGTTAATTAGTTACATCATTGCACAAAGTTTATTCTGCCTTGAATCAACTGGGTACATAAATTATTGCTTTAACCCCAACTAAGAACCCCAGCCTATTTAATACACAATCTTAAGTACTGGTGAAAGGTGCCAGATTAGCAGGCTTTAGAGCCTTCTAATTATATACTAGGGAAAGCAGAGTCATCGATAAATAAAAAGGACATGGTTAGGATGCACCAGAGCTGCCCAGGAATTGAAGTGAGCTTTCTATGATCAGCTGTTTCTCAAACCTATCCACAGCTTCCCCAAATCAACTATGCCATCTAGCCTATCAACTGAGCCTTCATCGCCCTAATCCAGATATCCTGACAGCACTGAACCAGGAGAGGGGCCCAGCTGACATTACCATAGCTGCTGACTATGCCTAAATTCCAAACACCACCTGCAGCGTGACTCTCACCCTGACCCCTTTTGTGTAACCTTTTCCTTCCCCACCTTACATCTATTCTTTCCTATCCCTCTAACACCAGTCTGGCTTAGCCAGCCAAAACTATTTTGAACACTAGTGTAAACCAGTGACCAGGAAGCCAGCTAACAGCAATGCCCTAAACAGCTCAACATTAGTACAAGTGTGCCAGGTTTTGGAGAGGCAGGTAAGATCACAAGTGCACTGGTTTTGGAGTGGCTCGTCTTTCTAGCAGTGAAGTTGTAAAGAAGAGTCCACACCAGGGTCAGAAGGTACATTTTTGTTTTCACTCTTTTCTTTCCCTGGTTGTGGGTGTCTCTTGTTTTTATCTCTCCCCCCCCCCACCACTGTTTAAAAAAAGACAGTCCAAACAAAGGTTCTCCATGTTGCGGGGGGGAGGGCGGGGGGGGAGGAGAGAGAGGAATCAAGCAAGCTGAGGTCTTTATAGAACCAAACCTTGTTCAGTGTTTGACAGTAACTGGGTCACAACACCTTTGACTCTTTGAACCCATATATTCCATTTAAGTTAAGACAACATACCTGTGAGCCTTCAGGTGGTCTCATTTTCTGAGGTTGCATAAGGCAAGTTCAGCCCAACTTTCAGGAGAGCCAGAGAATTCTATTCTTCTCCCAGGTAGGTCCTTTGTCACATGCTGGATGTAGACAGATCATTCTATTTGCCTAGAACCAAGGATGTTTTGATCCTCTACAGTGCTGTGAGCACAGGCATGTACTCGGTGTGGCTCACCCGTTCCCAACCCTTGCCCCTTCTGCGGTGTGAGGGAGACCCTGCTGCATGTGTCTTGAATGTGCCAGATTACAGCCCCTTTTCCAGTTCCTCCAGAACTTCTTGTTGAGGTTCTGGCCGCACTTCTTCCCTCGCCTAGTAGTTTATGTGCACCCGGCCAAGACCCCCCCCCCAAAGTCATGGGACCTCCTCAACCACCTCCTGCTGGCTTTAGTCAAGATGTCCACTGGCTTTAGTCAAGATGTCCATTTATAAGACTAGGGAGCAGAGGTTGGCTGAGGGAGGAGCCGATCTCCCTTCACGTGTCTGGGCAGAGTTCCACTGGCTCTCTCAAAGACTCCAAGGGACAATGGGCCTGTCCAGGGTTTTCTGCTCCATGTTCCCATCCAGTTCCCTCATTTTAGCCCTTTGACCTCCTCACCTGTCCCTGTTTTCCCTTCCCCCACCCCAGTCATTGGGTATTTCAGGTTCTGTGGCTCCTCCCCATAGGCTGGGGGGAGATCCTTTAACTGTGGGCAGGTATAAGCGTAAGCCTACCCACCTCTCAGACTCACATAGAACCAAGGATGATTTGAAATACAGCTTTTAAAGAGGGCTGAATACAGCGGAAAAATACTTAATTGGCTAGCTAGAGCGTGTCTCCTTTCTCCTCTTTAAAGGAGGAAGTTGATGGTTCAAGAAACTCTGCTTTTCTAGATGAGATCTGCACCGGCAGGACCTTTCAACTTATGGCTCACCTTTGTATACTATGAAGTGCAGGTGGTCTGTCTTCAGCTATAGAAGAGTTTACTCGGCAAGCCACAGTCCTCAAGATGGTACAGGTAATTCTAGGCACTACAGGTTGCACCTCTCTAATCCAGAACTCTGGTGCAGAAACATCCCTGGTCAAGAACGATTTCAGTGAGCCAGCTGTCCACTTTTCATAGGTGTGGCCAAGTTTCCCATAGTCCCATAAAGTTTTACAGCCCCCAGTCCTGGCTCAGTGTTCCATGCTGATGTTTAACTCCATTTACCCCTAAATATCCTCTAACTGCCCAGGAAGCAGTGGAAGTATTGGTAATGCTGCTAGATAATATTGACCTCCTGTGGTGTGGAAAATTCTCTAGGTCGGAACCGGTCAGATCCAGAGGGTGCTGGGCTGGAGAGGTTCAACCTGTAGATGGAAACATTTTGGTCTCACACAGAAAAGTCAAGTGGCAGGATGGCAGCTCCCACCTACCAGACTGGAAGTGCACCTCGACTTTGTTCTAGGGGGGTTACCAACCTAGAAGCACTTTTTCTGCTAGCAAATCAGTTGACTGGTGAGCAGGTACCAACTGGAGCAGAAGAGGCCTCAGAGCTTCCGCATGGAAGGACCATCTGAGCTGCTCACATGAAGGTTCATTTATAAAGAATGAATAATGTTAACCCAAGTATAACAAAATGAACTCTGCATTTAGAGCCACGGCATCCAACCAGTTCTGAAGCAGTAGCCACTAGAATGGCTACTGCAATAGCAAACTAGCCACTCTTTATTGTTCATGGCCAAATAGCCACACGTGGCTAGCAAGTTGGACACCACGGATTTAGAGTGAAATCCCTGCCTTATTTAGCCTCTAGAGCAGTAGATGCTCCCTTTGTTTTAAGTGCAAACACTGCAGATTGTTACCTTGGGTAGTGGGAAGAGAAAATTACAAAGTTCGTTTGGAAATCCCTACCTGCTCCCAGTGAAAGGAAAGTCACTTATTAATCATGTCAGGTGGTCACTTCTGAACTTTGGCTTTCTAAGGCTTCCCTGCTCATCTGAGCTTTCAGGCTGACCAACTATTCCCTTTTCCCAAAGCAGAGTGGAGCTGAGGTCAAAGGGGGAGGCTCGGGGGGGAGGGGGCCGGAGGGGGAGAGAGCAGGCCTTCTTTCCTCTAAAAAGCCGGCTCGGGGGGGAGGGGGCCGGAGGGGGAGAGATCAGGCCTTCTTTCCTCTAAAAAGCCACAAAGCCTGTCAGGGAATACCTTGCACCTCAAAAGGAAATAGGTCCTGTTACTCTCAATTAACCTTTTAAAACAACTCAGGTTAGGTCTCAAGATGTGAAGGACAGCCAATCTGAAAATATATTGTTTATTGTTTAATTGTACAGTAAAATAAATTAAAACCATTCATAGCAAGTCACAAGTGCAGTGTAGTTAGCTATACCTTCTCTGGCTTAAGGTTGGACAGCTGACCAAATGCATACCAAGCTCATCCCACTGCTGCACTCATACCAAGTCAAATTTAGGATCAAGACTTAACTTTACAGCTATTGGCGCTGTCAGAAGTGCTGATCTTGTTTTCCTGTGCACCTTGGTATCAGATTGTCAGCTAAAGTCAACTCAAAGCCTCCTCCCATAAAGAATCCCTTTCTACAGAAATAGCTACTCCAGCAGGGGAGAGATCGGTGGATCAGACCGGTCTAATGGGGGGATTGCTATATGATGTACATTAAGTCTACAATGCGGAGAATGTTCTGCTGGAAGCTGGAATAAAAGAAGGGCCCCCCCCCTTGCTTCATCTAAGCATTTTTTTGGGGGGGCGAGGTCAGGAGCTTCTACAGAGATGCCGTTCAATGATATCCCCACAACTGATGGGCCATTCTATCTTCGTGTTCAGTCATTAGGGTTCTGTTGTCACATTCTTCCCAACGTGTGACTTTTCCATTCTCCACCAAAATAAACTTCCACTCTATTGTGGTATCTGCTGGTAAGATAACAGTGTCAGACCAGAACCCATCCTTGTCACACTTGAGTGGCACATAGTTGTGCCACTGACCAAGACACTCATGGTTGCCAGTGACCGCAATCAGCTGGGCATCCACGTGAGTGATGTAGTGGACACGGAAGTTCACGTGGATGTTCTGTGGCATCGGGGGCACAGCTGCGACCCTTTTTGCTTTTGAATCCGCCTCAAGGAAATCTACCTGTTCCAGTTCCTTGTTGTCTGGGCCCACGCTGGCGTCAGAGTCATCTGCACTGCTGTTTTTACTAGCATCCCCGGACAATGAGAGTTCAGGAACAACTTCCCATTCCTCATGATCAACCAAGTCCTGATACTCAAGCGTCTGACCTGGCTGTTCTTCCCTTTTGTCCTCATGCGTGTTACTTGAGGGAGATGCTTCTGCCAAAGCATCCCCACTTTCTTGTCCCTTGACTAGTTCTGATTCTGTGGCGGAAGAACCAGTAGCTTCACTGCTTAAGTATTCGCAGTAATTCATTAGCGGGGTGGAAGGTTCTTTGACCAGTGACTCTCCTGAAACAGATTCTCCAAGAATGCCATCATCACTTTGACACAGGACATGTTTTTCTGGTGTACTTGCCAGACTCTCCACTGGCTCCTGCAGGCTGGACAGGGCGCTGGTTTCCAGCAGGACTCGCTCTTTGCTTTCCAGGAGAGGCTCTAATTAAACATAATATTAGAATACTTAGTTAACCAGAAACATACAGCCTCTGTCTCAGGCAACTGAAAGCGTTCCCAACTCACAAGAGTAAAACTACTTTCTAAACAGCTGTTAGGATTTACTAGGCAACTTCCTATAGCTGAAGCAAACTATACACCCCTTTACTACAGTTACATTAGGCAAGAGTTCTTACAGGTCCAAAGTTTACCCTGGCTCTTTAAAGCTTGATTCAAGAGCAGTACTCCATGCCAAGGCCTCATAAACCCTCTCTCTACAAATCAGTATGTTTACTAGACCGTACCGACATCAAATCATCCACTGTACTTGTGGGAGTCCCTTCCTTTTTGACTTTCAAGAGTCACGTATTCACAACCAGTTAGACAAGTTGTTTGACAGCCAGCTCCTGAAGCACTGATCTTTATAGTCACTATACAAAAATCTTAAGACCACTTTCCTACCACATCAGGAGGGTGGAGCCCACGAACGCTCATGATACCCTCTACAGTTTTGTGTTAGTCTTGAAGGTGCAGCGAAACGATTTTGTTCTTTAAGTTTTTCAGCTGTAGTGTCGTTTGTTCCCTGCCCCTCCCACCATGCTTTTCATTTTCCAGCCCTATAGATATTGCTTCGAAACAGTCTGTAGCCACTAATGCCATTTTCAGTAGTGTCAGATGTGATCCGGGGCTAGTCAGCTCCTCTAGAGTACAGGCTAGCATGGGTTCCCAAACTAGGGGTGTGCCCGCCTGGGGGGGGGGGG